AACCTGGGCATGCCCTGATTGGTAATCAAACCATGTCCTCCTGGTTCATGGACCTACACTCAACCACTGAGCTACACCAGTCAGGCAAAACACATTCTTAACTCGAGGGCCATGCCAAACTGGTAAGACAACAGGCAGAATTTGGCTTTCTGGCTAGTTTTCCTATATCTTGCTAGAGTATGGACCATGAATACTTTTCCATTTTAGACTTACCTTGCTACCATATGCTTTATCTCTAACCCTTTTATCTTACCAGTGTTCATTTCCTGCCATTGGTGATGAGAGAGACTTGGTTTTCTTTCCATGTCAGAGCTGCTAAGCATAACAGAATGAGATGAAGAGAAGAGTATGTTACAGATATAATACGAGGACCAGAGTGACCAATTCTATTTCCCTTCTGCAGATGTCTCTTGTCGTTGCCTGTTTGGTGGCTGTGATCGTGTACCGCCTGTCAGTCTTTGCTACATTTTCCAGATTCATGGAAACTGAAGCATCCTTAAAGCATGTCAAAAGTTTTCTCACTCCTCAGATAGCTACAGCACTCTCTGGGTCATGCTTAAACTTTATTGTCATCTTGATCTTGAATTTCTTTTATGAAAAGATATCTGCCTGGATTACAAAGATGGGTAAGCTGACTCTTTACTATGGCTCTGAAAAAGGGTCACTAGCAACACTACACATTCATTCTGGATCATCCCCCAGGGAGCTAATTTTTTAAAAGCACATTTTAAGGCAATTTGGTTCCATAGGTAGACCCATAGCCTGGTACTTCAGAATGCCCTAACCGCTATATCCAGGCCATCATAATGGAAGCAAGACGATGAACTAAAAAGAAGAATTAGGACTTTGTAGATCTTTTTACGTATTCTTATCTTAATTGTCCTTTCATGGGGCTAGTTCAGCGATGGTGAACCTATGACACGCGTGTCAGAGGTGACACGTGAACTCATTTTTTTGGTTGATTTTTCTTTGTTAAATGGCATTTAAATATATAAAATAAATATCAAAAATATAAATCTTTGTTTTACTATGGTTGCAAATATCAAAAAATTTCCATATGTGACACGGCACCAGAGTTAAGTTAGGGTTTTTCAAAATGCTGACACGCCGAGCTCAAAAGGTTCGCCGTCACTGGGCTAGTTGAATCCTAAGTAAAATCCTCACTTTTCTCAAGGCAAAGAGAGTTTTTATTTCATGTGTATGACTTTTAGAAGGTATTTGGTTTTTAAAAACATCATGAGAACAATCAGCTTCTCCTTAATAAATCTGAAATGTAGTGCCTCTCTTTTCAGTTGCAATATCTTAGAATCTAGATTATTTTCTATTTAAGATATTGAATGTCCCCCTAAAGCAGTGGTTCTCAACCTTGGCTGCACATTAGAATCACCTGGGAATCTTTATAAAATCCTGATTTCTGGGCCTCATCCTCCGGAAATTCTGTTTCTTTGTTACTAATGTTGTGGCCTCACCCCATAACAAAGAAACAGAATTTCCGGAGGATGAGGCCCAGAACTCAGGATTTTAAAAAGATTCCCAGGTGATTCTAGTGTGCAGCCAAGGTTGAGAACCACTGCCCTAAAGCCATGAGGAAAGGTGAAGGCATCACAGGTGAAAGAGTCTCAAGTGAAGTGGTCACAGGTGAAGTGGTCACAGGTGAAGTGGGAGACTGAGCCAGGGAGAATAGCACGGAGCATAATTGCTCCTGATCTTGCCCCAGCAAGTTGGAAATAGATCAGAGACTCAGTTCAAGGCCTCAGCTTCTTCTCTGAGTGCTCTTTGTTCAGGAGCTCCTCCTCTAAACCGTCCACTGAAAGGCCCAATGTGACCCAATAGAGCACCTCTTCCACCCAGCACTGGAGCGAGCACTGGGCAGCCACTTTCTTTAACTATGACCCTCCAATTTGGAGTTCTTCCCTCAATTATATTTGTATTTTTCTGATAGCAACAACAAAAATATCACAGCAGATAACACCCAAAAGTAAAATACTTAAAAATAGCAGCTTTCTTCTATGAGAAAAAGCACTTGTGTTCACTTTTGAGATTTTGTAAGAATGCACCTAAAATGGAGGTGTTATCTGTGTCTTTAGAATAATATGTGTATTTCAGCATCACTGAAAAAGTCATGGGTTTGGTTAAATTGGGAGATCATCAGCTCAGAAAAACATGCTCTTTTATGCCTAGTGATGCTTTACTGTGGCATGAAGAGAATCTAATATTTTCTTATTTTGGAATTCATTAAATGATAGATCGTAATAAGGAGAAGGAAAACATATGCTATTACTGCCACCATTTGTGTGACATGGCTTTAAAATTTTATATAGCTACTAGTGACCCAGTGCATGGATTCAGGCACATTGAAAGGAAATTAATTAGAAGGTGGCCGGTGGGGCAGGACTGGGCGAGATGGGCCAGACAACCCTTGGAGCCAACCTCCCGCGGTCCCTCCCTGGCCGGCCACACCTGGGGTGGCATCATGGCTTGAAAGGTGTCTATGGAGTGAGTGAGGTCCCTTTGGCAGGTGGGGTCCCTTGGCCTGGCCTGTGGGGATCGGGCTGAAACCAGCTCTCCAACATCCCCTAAGGAGTCCTGGAGTGTGAGAGGGCACTCTGCAAAGTTGCTGTCATACAGGGTGTGGAATGCAAATGCAAGTGTGCAGTAAACCAGATTCGGGGCCAACAGTGCCCCAGCAACAACATAACTCATGGCTGAAGGTGGAATCACTCGGCCCCGTGAGGAATCGGGCTCCCTCCTCTCTGGTTTCGGGGTGTGTTACCCGAGAACCGCTGCTGCCAAGTCACTGCAGCTCGACAGCTCCTGCATTGAGCATCTGCCCCCTGGTTGTCAGTGTGCATCATAGAAGCTGGAGGGACACTTAGCATATTAGTCTTTTATATATATAAATTTAATTCATGAAATGAAAACACAAATTGGTTTGCAAATTATCCTCTGCCCTTGGTATGAGCTTACTTTGCTTAAACCTGATTGAAAACAGAGAGAGAGGGAGGAGGAGAGAGAGAAAAAAAGAGAGAGAAATCTCCCAAGTTTACAGGATATATAGTTGTGGGGATGAGCACAGGCTCTTCAGTCTGATATGGATGGGAATTCCATATTCTGATTGTGCGACTCCAGGCCAAGTATCTCACCCCTCTAAATGTAACACTGACCACTTCCTAGGCTTCTCTGGTGATTAGATCAACACAAAGTCTCTAGTAGGCAGCCTAGCACAAGTCTATAATTAACTAAGTATTGGTGTATTATGACCAGAGTGGGAAACATTTCAGCAGGCTCTCAGAAAAATGTGACTAGATATCCACTTATCCCAGGGACTAAAAACTTTAATAAGAAACAGGAAAGTGCACTGTTAAACATTGGTGTTTTTTACTTACCAGAAATCCCTCGAACTTACCAGGAGTATGAAAGCAGCCTGACATTGAAAATGTTCCTGTTTCAGTTTGTAAATTTTTACTCATCATGCTTCTACTTAGCTTTCTTTAAAGGGAAGTTTGTGGGCTATCCCGGAAAGTACACATATTTGTTTAATGTGTGGAGAAGTGAAGAGGTAAGAACTCTCTTGAGAAGCGAGGTTTGTTTTTTCAATAACTCAGTGTTAACCAAATACCTTTTTTTGTGCCCAGCACAAACTCAACTTTACTCAAATTGGAAGAAAAGTATAAGATACTAACTCTGTCTGCAGAGAATATTGGTTTTAGAATTCTGTCATCTAATAGATCTCCCTGTTCCTTTAGGGCAAGAAGTTATTTTTTCTTATTGTTAGTATCAAAAAATGAGCTGCAAAATGGAGTAAGTGAGTTCTATGTTCCCGAAGGCTTCCTGCAAAGGAAGAATGATAACTCTCTCCAAGTACAGCAGAGAGGACTCCACCATGGGTGTGAGCTAGGTCAGATCAGTGGTCCACAAATCTGGCTGTGCATCCAAATCACATGGAGAAAAATAACAACTTCTGCCCTAACCCAGACAGAAAGATGCAGAATTTTCTGAGACTGAGATCCACAAATGTTTTGTTAACACAGCTGAGTCTAATGCAGCTATCCTAGCACTAGTCTGTGATCATGCTTGGACTATTGAGCTAAATATCACTTTATATCCCATTAGTATCCATTTCAACCCAAATCTTCAGATTCTTATCCTCTGGATTTATTTCACTGCAAAAGTTTTGTCTTTCATCATTCACTTCTCTTTGCACCCTTCCCTTCTAACTAGTGTGACCCTGGAGGCTGTCTAATAGAACTGACCACCCAGCTGACCATTATAATGACTGGGAAACAGGTCTTCGGAAACCTTCAAGAAGCCGTTTATCCGTATGTATGACTTAGAAGTTTTTGCTTGATTTAAGGAATCATGAGAGATTTCCTCTGGAAGAAGATGAAATTCTTCTATTATTGTGGTGCCTTTGTTAGCAATGTTTAAGTCAATGAAAAAGAAACTTCACATTTAATCAACAGTCGAATGCATTAAGGCTTTTAAATATGCATCACTGTTGCTTGAGTTGAAGTTGAGGGAAAGATAATTATGCCCCTTTTTAGGAAGATTTATGTATCATATCCTTTATAGATTATTCTGCATGTTATATAGTCACAAATTGAACTCTGTAACAGTATCTATTTTTCATGGACACATTTAGGCAAAAATTGGTCATGAATGAAATACAGATACATGAAAGGTTTGCTTTCTATTCCAAAAGCATAGCAATACGAATACTTTTTAAAAAGTGAAAACCAAAATAACAGTTGATATCAAATATAAGATGAAAATTCCCAAGGATAAAAAGAGGAAGAATCATAAGCCTATAATCTTGCAAGGCTCCTAGTTAGGAAATGACAGTGTCAGGTTTGTTTAGCACCTGTAGTATAAAGTGCTCTATTTATTTGTCTATTTTATGTGATCATGCACACTCTTTATTTTGTTCTTGGTTTTAAAGGGAATGTTTTTAACTTTTCCCTATTAAGAATGATGTTCGCCCAAAATGTTGGTAGATGCTTATGATCAGATAGAGATAATTTCCTTCTTTTCTACCTTTTTGTCATAAATAGGTGCTTGAAATATATCAAATGTATTTTTCTGCAGCAGGTGACATGATTTTATATTCTTAAATCTGTTGGTGTGGTTTATTACATTGATTGATAAATGATTGATTAATAAAATAAAAAAAAATCTTCTTGTTTCTTAAAGTAATCCAACATTATCATTATACTAGGAGCCCGGTGCACAAATTCTTGTATATTAAAAGGAAATTAATTAGAAGAAATATTTTAATATCGCTATTCACCCTTTCTCTATAATAGAAGTGTCAACCAAATTCATGATCGATAATGATAGATTGAAATACACGTGTGTGTTTGACGCCAGCAAGAGTTTTATATGTATCGCGCATGTGCGAGTCAACTTAGCCTTTTATAGATATAGAATAAACTTGATTAATTAGACCTGCTTTCTGATTTAGCTTAACTTTTTCCAGCCCAGTGAAGCACCCTACTTCTCTTTCAAGTAATTGTCAGCAACACAGCAGTAAATATCAACACAAAGCAGAATATTATTGTAGATCATGCAGGGAGAACAAAAAGTGAAATATTTAACTGCAGCAGTGTTTGACTATATGCTGCACAGAGAGAAAACCTGAAGTCATTTTCAAAGTTCACTATTTCTTACTTCTTTTCAATCGGGTCAAGTTTCTAAGCTTTCTAAATCTTCATTTTCCAGCTAATAAAAAGAAAATAGGGTTCTGCCGAGTCTCCTATCTACCTACTCCAGGACTTCTGTGAGGATCAAATGAGATGAGGCACGGGAAAACGCTTCACAGACATTTGGTTAAAGTGTAAATGTTTCCACCTGGGTATAAAGCAAGTTGTGTTTGTGGGCTGAAGAAACTGCAAGGAGGCTAGTTGCTAGGGAGAGGAAGCCAGGCATTGCTATGTGAAGTCATTATGCAGTGCCTACAGCAACCATTTACAGGCTGTCCATGGGGTCTCAGCTGCATTGGCTGTGATTTGGTAGGCTGTCACACTGGGGTGGAGGTAGGTCTGTGTCCCACTTGGGGGAAGCTGAATGTTGTTTTGTTGGCCAGGTCCACACTGCTGTTTCTCTGTAAATGGCAAATGTGCATCATAGCAGCTCCTGCGTTGAGCGTCTGCCCCCTGGTGGTCAGTGTGCATCGTAGAGACGAGTTGGACAGTGGGAAGGACACTTAGCATATTAGCCTTTTATATATATACTAGAGACCTGGTGTACAAAAAATTGTGCACTCGGGGGGAGGGGGGGGTCCCTCAGCCTGGCCTGTGCCCTCTCGCAGTCTGGGACCCCTCAGGAGATAACGACCTGCTGGCTTAGGCCTGCTCCCGGGTGGCAGAGGGCAGGCCCAATCCCTAGGTGCAGCCCCTGGTCGGGCTCAGAGCAGGGCTGATTAGGGAGTTGGGGTGCCGCCCCCTGACATGCACAGAGCAGGGCGGATCGAGAGGTTGCGATGCCACCCTCAGTCACGCTCAGGGTGGGGCCGATTGGGGGGTTGGGGCACCGCCCCCTGTCACACTCAAGGCAGGGTCCATGGGGAGGTTGCGGCGCCACCCCCTGTCACGCACAGAGCAGGGCCAATCAGGGGGTTGGGGCGCTGCCCCCTGTCACGCACAGAGCAGGGCCCATCAGGGGTTTGGGCACTGCCCCCTGTCACGCACAGAGCAGGGCCGATCAGGGGGTTGAGGAGCTCCCCCCTGTCACTCACAGAGCAGGGCCCATCAGGGGTTTGAGGAGCTCCCCCCTGTCAATCACAGAGTAGGGCCGATAGGGGAGTTAGGCACC